AGTTTTCAGTAATCCACACACATTCTCAATGTTCCTTCTTTCTTTTTAACAAAAACAATTGGTGAGGCCCATTGACTTTTACTTGCTCTAATCAATCCATTTTCCAATAGTCCATAAACAACAAAACACCAGTATTTCGTCCAAAGGTTATGTATTGAGTAAATGAGTTTCTGGTTCTAAACAAGCAAGTTTAAACAACCAGCTAATGGTTAAAGAACTGAACTGACAAGAAGAGAAATTGAAGGAAAATTTGAATGTGATGGTCTAGAAATATTAATTGCTCCTAAAACTGATGGCGAAGAGAATGAACACATCATTGATATTCCCTCACCATCTGAAAGATCATCAGACTTTCAACCTTCCGCTTTTAGGTTTGAATTGCTTAGAGAAGACATGAAAAGAGCTGTGTCAAAGCCCCATTATCATGTTGAAGCAGTAAACATTGTAGACTATACTGTAATGGAATATTTTCTTCAGTTGTCAATCACCAGCGGTCAAGATGAAACAGTTGTAGCTATCAGATACCAGTTTATGCATATAATGAATGGAATTGATATTGTATATAGGAGAATCAATGATCCAAGATATATGATATCTATATTTCTAAAAAAATTCACGATTATAAGGCAAAAAGCAGGCTGTCCGTTTACTGATGAACCAGCTCCTTTGAATATGGCTGATCACAATGGTAGAAAAGTCATCAATGCGGCAGAGTCATTGAAAAAGATATCTGAGTGGATTGGCGACTCTGCCAATAAGGGCGGAGCTGATTGGAGGGTTTGGGATCATACTTTTGTATGGACAAAAAAAGATATCTGTCATTATGGCCAATACGGTACAATTGGAATGGCTCCTGTGGGGAGGATCTGCTCAAAGGATGCAGTCTCAATCAATGAATGTAACGGCATGACCTCTTGGAAAGTTGCGGTACATGAACTTGGACACAATCTTGGATCTTTGCACGATGGGTCAGGAACCAGTTATAGTTGTTCATCAAGTAATCAAAATATCATGACACCTACCATTTCCAATTATGATTTTACGGAGCTCAAGAATGCTTTTGTATTTAGCCAGTGCTCAATTGATGCAATCTACAATACTATAATAGGGGGTGGTCCAAATGGATATCTCAGAGTATGCCTGATGAACAAAGTATGTGGCCATGAGGCATTAAACCAAAATGCAATTACTGACGATGATTGTACTTTGTTGTATTGTAATTGTAGGAATTTCTGGTTCGTCACAACTGTAATTGTCCTTTCCAATCATTTACCAACTTGCCAAAGTACTGGTCCAAATAGAACCTTTAAAGTTCATCCACAAATAGTCTAACAAAGGCAATTTCGGTAGAAATTGATTAACAAAACACCAGTATTTTGTCCAAAGAATATATATTGAGTAAAATGAGCTTCTAGTTCTAAACAAGCTAGTTTAAACAACTAGCTGACGGTTAGAAAACTGAACTATCAACTGTTAATTTCATAGGGTTTATATACTCTTTTAAGGGTTGATAGTTCACAAATTTCAATGTTCACAAAAACAAAAGTAACATTTGAAGACAAAGAAAAGTTCTAAATATGGTCATGTTTTTATTGTTTTCCACTTCTAAATAATAGTTGAATTTCGAAGGTTGGAGAGTTGCATAAGATGTAACAATTTTAGTAGGACAAGTCCAACAATCAAGAAAACATGTAGATTGTATATTTGACCGTTTTTATATTCTACCTTAATAATGATATTGAATTGATTGAGTTAGTAAATTTATCATCAGCATATAAGGAGGAAGTATATCTGATTAATGCATGTTAAAAAGAACAGTATTGTGTATACAATACTGTTGAATAGTGAATATAATCTAAACTTAGAATTTAAGCATAATTGATAATTAATTGAACTAGTTTTAGTTGGAAATCATAAATGTATGGATTAATAAATTGTTATATTAATGCTAGGTTGCAAATAGCAAATATTCTTTATATAATTCAATAGGTTTTATTACTGCATAATGTGTATGCACTGCCCTATGCGAAACTAGGTCACTACTGCTTATCTTTATCAGTGCTATCTGCATAGTACAATACTCGTTCAATACTACTTCTCTATTGTAGATTATAGCTGACGAATGTATGTGTACAATGATAAGCTTCCTGGAATTAAATATTCATTAACAGAGCAGTGTGGGCTGATACATGGTAATGGAGCTCTGCAGTATGAATCCTGCCATTCATCGCGGAATGTTTGTCAACATCTGATATGTAAAGGGGGAAATTTCTTGTTCTGATATAATTACAGAAATGCCAAGCATTTATTTCAGTACTCTGGAAACGTCATATTGTAGAGAATGTAGCAGAAAGGGTTTGACAAAGGCCAATGATCAAGCAAAAACCCATTCAAATTCCCTTTGTGATCCAAATCCATGCAAGAATAACGGATTATGTCGTCAATACGGTAGATCTGCTTATATGTGCGAATGTCCAGTAGGACATGGAGGGCAGAACTGCGACAAAGCCGAGCATGACGGTATACCATTTCAGGAGACGCCAAGTTCACCTGACTCTCCAAATGAACCACAACGTGTTGACGAAAACATTAGAGTAGTTGTTTATGGTTCAAACGGTGAAGATGAGGTCAATTGCATTACTGGACCACCTAAATATGGAAGCTTTTTTTGCGATAGATTCAAACTTGTTTGCTGTTATTCTTGCAAAAATGTTTAAATTGAAAGAATACAAAAAACATAATTTTATTGAGCATAGAATTGAGTTTGTAGATATTTCAATGTAATGACGTAAAAGAAGAGCATTAGCTTTGCGTTGACTATTTTTATCAGTATTTTAATTTTAGTTCGGTAATGAGGAATATATCTGTAGCCTTAAGAGTTGTAAAAATTGTCAATATCCCCTGACCTATGAAAATCAACAGAGCGAGTGAGTGAGAGAGAGAAAGATAAAGTGTTTAGAGATAAATATCTTTCTTCCTGAAGATAGCTTGGATAACTTGATATTCTCAAACACTTGATTTCTTCTCTAAAAATAGCAGTCATTCAGATATTCATTCAAATTTTGAATGTATTACATTGTGGCAATGAAGCAAGATTAGCTATTTCCAAATTGAATGGAACGTACAACGCCAAAAAATTTTGCAGAATTTACACTACTCATTATAATTGCCTCAAGTCTACCAATAATCATCCCCGTTGCAAAGTGCTCAATTCAAAGAAAATGGAAAGTTACCGGAAAAAATATTGCAGCACTGGTAAAATTCTGCAAAAATATACAAATTGTAATTATTAAACAAATGCTGTTTTGAACAATCTTTTCAGAATGTCAATGTGAATTGGCTGCTTGTAATAATAAAAAAAATGGCTATTGTTCTACTTGGTATTGTCAAAGAAATGCTTTCATTCAATGTAAAATCTACAGTTCTCACATAATTGAACAATATCCAAACTTGATTAGATCGTGTAAGTGTAAAAGTGGATTATTTTTGAAATATTCTTCTTACGGAAGAAGAGAGATCAATCATTTAAAGTTTTTTTCATTTTTCTATTCCAACAAGGTCCCGGATCTGGCGGTATAAGAAAAAGTAACTGCCAATGCAAGTATCAATGCTCTCCATTATACCTCTTTCCTTAAGTAATTCACTGTTTTTTTTTAAACATATTTAAAAACGCTTTCATCTATAAATAACAATAAAAATGTTCTTGAAAATCTAGACTTTCGTTTATAAATATTGTATTTAGGCTTTTCACCGTAGAATCACTTTGTCAATAAATGAAAGAGAAGATTGAATGACTGATTCAACCTGCTGCAGAAATGACTGGATGGTTTTGCAGTAAAAACACTTTATAAAGAGGGGTTTCCGATTCTTGATCAACTCATAGGCATCTACTATAGAAGTATTCTCCTCTGTAATACCCACTTTCTCTAAAAGTTGTTTGTTTATACCGAAATCTTTAGACAAAGAATTATAACTAATCAATAAATTAACAAAATGGATCCAGGTATGAGTTAGGGTTAGGGTAAAGTCATAAAATTGTGATCATTTGTAACTAATCTTGCAGTCGTACTGCTTTTAGTAAATGTAATAGACTTGATAACCCTAACACTATTTAGTAGATGGTTTTTAGATAGAAGGATTTTCTAACCCTGAATTAAATCTTGTCAAACCTTAGTTTGCAAAATCATTGCAATCGATGATCTTTCCTTGATTTGGGAAAATTTTAAAACAGGTAAAATTAATGCAAACCAGCTTCTGCAGCTTTGCTCAGAATTATATTATTGAAAATAATTGACAATACCTTGATATCAAAAAACTTTACTTGAAAACACTGGTCATTTAATTGTAAAACTTGAAAAAAGTTTGTCTTTGTTTTAAAGTTGTTTACAAATAATCAATACACAATTTATATGGTAAACCTAAAGTTGCATATATAAAAAGTTTTCTATTAACTTGTTTTTCAATATAGATTTACATTTAAATGAAATTTATTTTTATTTATGTTTTCTTTTAGTTCAAGGATATTTACTTTTAGTTTATAGACATTTTCTTTCACTGTATGGATGTTTTCATTCACTCCATAAGGAAATATAATTCCTAAGAAAATAAGTTAATAGGAAAAGTTAAGTGATTTTTTTTGTGAATATTTCATTTATTAAGTATATGTTTAACATATTCTTTTACCAAAGGTTTACTTTTTCAACATATATTTATATTTAAATGAAATTTATTTTAATGGACGTTTTCTTTCAGTTTATGGACATTTTCTTTCATGGATGTTTTCTGTAGACCCCGAGTGGACCATACCTTGTAACTGCTACTGATACTACAAAATGTTTGTATGAATTGGAAATATTGGCAGACAAAAGAAAATTTTATCATGCTAGCAGACTCAGACTAGCAAATAAACATAATTTTAAAGCTGGAATTTGGTGGAAAGTTAGATGTATAAAATAAGCTTTGAAAGCATTGAGAATTATCGTTCAAGAATGTATAGTTCATGTTATTTTAATGATATAAAGTTGCTAAGACGTTATCACTTTTGCCCATTGTACATTTTATAAAGATCTTCTGATAGCGAAGATAGACATTGTATTTGATTAATCTCTCTCCCAACACATACGAATCTCTGGCTAGAAAGAAAAGAGAAACCAGTTGATTCTCTATTATATTCGTAGTTGCTGGTGTATATGTGATATAGACGCTGTACAGACAGATCCAGATTCCAATTCTGCAACATCTTCGTACAAAAACCTAAACATATCTTCAGCATATATAAATTCTGGAAAAGTTGGTTTTGCGTCTTTATACCATTCGACGCACGACGAATAAGCTTTTATTGTAGCCAGTATTTGTATCTCTCCAATTTCCAGATTATTATAAGGCGATCCAGTCAAATAGAGAAACATCTTGACCGAAGGTGAAGGATTTGTAAAGTGAACTTCGTTCCATCCTTTAATATATTCGTGGTTGTATTCGTCGAGAGTAGTGTCATTGTTTTGAACTACTAATTTTAAAGTTTTATTTTCATTTCTTAATTTCAAAATTCGAACTTTTTCAAAATGTATTGTTCGAAAAATATTTGTATCAAACACTAATTCAATATCTGCAATGTTAGCAATACTCAAAAAAGTTTAATATGATCTTGACGTTCTTGGTTAAACTGTTGGTGATGGCTGGGAACACTATAGCCATTTTTATTCTGTTCTTCAAACGCGTTAACCTATCGTTCGAAATAGCCATTGCATCCAATTAGAAAAGCGGTAAACACGCATAGGAATATCATTGTATTTGGTCTTGTAAGCGTTAGAGTGTGAGAAAGAAAAGACGCTCAGAACAAGCGGATTTGAACTCTACAATATGATAATTCTAATTATCATATTCAATATATTGCATTAACTAATAACTCTTTCAATTTTGCCTCAATACTTTGCCATTAACCAACTCGAGACACTTGACATTATTACCTACAGAGATTGCTCTTTGTTTGCAACCATTGGTGGATTATGATTCAAGAACGTTTCCAAGTAAAACTTGGATTTTGTTCTGGAAAGGAGACATAAACAATAAAGACTACTTGTCTTCATACGTCACACGTCACCAAAAATTGAAAAGGCATTTACATGAGAGAATACTCATATTGATGATGGCAATTCATATCAAGATTAAATCCTTTGCCGTCATTCATTTCATTGTTAATGCATTAATCTGAAATTAAGGAAATAAGTTTGCCAACAAATTAAATGATGATGAAAAATCATTGAAAACATTTCAACAGTGATTACTTGTTTGCTGTATGACCTTTTCCATTGTCTATTGTTAGGAAAAGATATGTTTTGCGGTTGGTGGAAAACGTCCCAATTACAACTTGCACCAAAAACCATACTCCCTCATCCTGTATTTTCTAATTACGAGAGAGAGAGAGAATGGGATTTACCCCATTAGGAAAATACTTTGATATATACAGGATTATATTTTAGTTGATCCATACTCAATTTTAACATTTCCACCTTGTCTCCTATTGGTCAAATGTCAAGTATTTTGCACTTGGAAATAGCTAATTAATAGCTTCAAACTGTTATAGGCCAACGAAAAAAGCGGTCATGCCATTCCTGAAAAAAAGATATGGGAAGAGTTTCATCTTCCAACAGGATAATGTTCCTTGCCACAAAGCCAAAATTATCCAAAAATATTTTAAGACTGAAAGTATTACCTTGGCCAGCTTACTCCCCAGATCTTTCCCCCATAGAGAATGCATGGCACATGTTGAAGAATCTTGTATATGAGAGCCCCCAATTTACTAAAAGGATAATTTGTGGCACTGTATTCAACAAAAGTTGGAAATTTTGAATAAAAGACAAAAGAAGGATTTAATCACCCTTCATAAGTCCCTGTTAGATTCAGGATTAACTTGTATTCAACAAAATGGTTCAAAGCTAAAGCACTAACATTTATAAATGTACATTTAATTAAAAAATTAATAAATAAATAAGATATAGGGGGTGTACAAAAAATTTGCTTGCCTTTTCCAAAAAATTTCTGTACAGAATTATAAATACTCACAAAAATATAAAAATAATTTTGTAAACTAGGAGAGGTAGAGAGTATCTGAAAAATATTCATAAAACTAGACAAAATGTCCTACATTTCAGTCAATATTTTTTTAAAACAAGGCTATTGATTACCCTTCAAAATAGCCTTTACAAAAAAATATTCCTTCGAATGAAAAATTTCTTTCACCACTGTATGTGTACAAATTACTGTACAACAAAGTACATTAATTAGTAACAAATGTACACATGTGCTCAAAGTTTATATTAAAAAATATTTAAAAAAATAAAAACACAAAAATCTATGATATCTTTAAATTATTTTCACAATACTATTTTAGATGATCAAGTGAGCCAGTTTGTTGTTAAAACCTGCTTCTTTGGAACTAGAAAGTCAGTTTCTGAATAAGCATTCTTTGAAAGAAATACTGCTGTTTTGTTGGTAAATTTCTCATGGAATTTCATTATTGAGACTAATTGTAGATGAACTTAAAAGGTTCTATGCTGAACAGTACTTTGGCAAATTGGTGAATGATTGGAGAGGAAAAATTTGATTCTCATGAGCTACAATACAACAAACTACAATAGTAACCAACAATTGTACACCTGTGCTCAAAAGTTATGCAAATGAAAACAAAAAGTTTTTTAACTTACATTAATTTTTTTCTAAAAAGCAAATTGCATTGCAAATTACATGCTTTATTTTTTTATTTCTACTCAAAAGAATAAAAAAAATTAAACATATTTATGGTTATTTTGAATTATTGATAATAAATAATGATTCCCCTATATCACTTTATTTGCCCCTATCTCAACATATTTTAAGTGATGATATATACTAACAATGTTAATTACTGTAACAATCTTTACAATCTATTCCCATAAATTACACTGTTTTTCTATAAATACCCATGCTATCATCCAGTTTGCCAACCAACTCTTCAAAATGAAAATTTTCGTTGTATCCTTATTTGTAGTATTTGCAATTTACCAAGCTCACGCAAGTGAGTTAGTCAGTGATTTGGCAGAAAATCAAATCTCTGATGATGGAAATGATTTGGTTGATTTAAATGAACGTGAAATTGATGAAGAAACTGAAGAAGAAGTAGCAAAGGTAAGACATATACAAACACAATTGTTCACTATTATTTACTTGATTGTTTCAATACAGAGATTCCTTAGTAAGCTCTTCAGCAACAAGAAAGGTATAAGCAAAGCTCAATGTGCACTTTGTGCTGTTGCCCCAGCAACTAAAAGATGCCAGAGAGTCAAGAAATTATGCATGATGAAACATAAAATTTTCATTCTTCCCAAAAAAGTTTGAAAGATTATATATGTCAATGAAATTAAGATTCAAATAAATACTCCAAGCATATTAAAAATCAAATTGTGTTCAAAAAATATATCATAGTTAATTTAAGCAATAGGATTTCTCATAAGGGTTTATCAATTTTAATTGTGGCAAACTCAAAATTTTGATAACTATACTTTGTTGTATTTTAATTGTAGGAATTGAGTACTTTTAGGACTTTGGTACCATATATCAAGTTCTGATAGAGAGTGTACTTTGTTGTATTGTAATTTTCAATTCTTTAACTGTTATTGTAATTTTTGGAATTTCTGCTTGTTCAGAACAGTATTTGTCCTCTTCAATCATTTATCAATTCTCCAAAGTACTCAAACAAATAGAACCTTTTAAGTCTGTCCACAATCAGTATTAACAAATGTAATTTTGGTAGAAATTAAACAACAAAACACCAGTATTTCATTCAAAGGTTATGTATTGAGTAAATGAGTTTCTAGTTCTAAACAAGTAAGTTTAAACAGCCAGCTAACAGTTAAAGAATTGAAAATTACAATACAACAAAGTACACTCTCTATCAGAACTTGATATATGGTACCAAAGTCCTAAAAGTAATTTGGAACTATGAAAGTTTTGTTCAACAAATGGTTTGAACAAAGGATTTAGAATAAATAAAGCACTTCTGGTTATTTGATCCCAGGCTGATTTGTTTTCATCCCTCTTTAAATCTGTTTGTCTACAAACATTTTCAAATCTAAGCAATGTTCCAGTATCTTTATCCATACATCCAGTCATTGTAAAGAAAAATAATCCTGATTGTTTAATACTTAATTCATTGGTTATAGGATTGAACAGATTTTCTTGGTTTACATCAATAGAACTCCACCTTACTCTTTCTTGATGAAGTGTAACACTCGATTTTAAAGGTACTGCGAATGCTGGACTTTTACCCAATGCACAATCAGGAGTTTTGCAATCTTCAGTTTCAATTGGTAAACTGGTACTTTAATTTCCACCAATGGAAGGTGAAGGATTGCTCCATTCTCTCCTTCTCGTATGAATTTCTTTGCCTCTGCACTTTTGGTCGCAATCACTCCAAGCTGACCATTGAGACCAAACTCGATTCTGTGTGCATTTCAAATTTTCGGAGGGAATGCAAAATTTTACAGTGCCTTCTATTGCGTTGATTACTGGATCAAAGAAGTGGCCAAGTGGACATTTGTGAGAATAAACAGTGCCATTCACACATTGATAGTAAATGTTACAGAATTGAGAATCTCTATAAGCTCCATCAATTGATTTTAATTTGTCATCAACTAAGCATTTCAAAGAAGATAAAGAAAAAAATTGTAGAAGAAAAACTGTACAAAAAAAATTAATCAGTTTTAGAAATCCTATCAAGACAATAAAAAGAAAAAAGACTTAACATCTAAGAAAAATGTTTTGTCGAATTATTGAAATAATTTGGCCAATTTTGATCAAGTTCCTTATTGATGATTTTAATGCTGCATTAGAAATGATATTAATTAATAATAATTGGATTATTGGCAATTCGGAGAGAGCTGAAAGCTTTTTTGCCCTAAGAAAACAACATGATTTTTCTTTTGTTAAATCTTCCTGTTATTAATCTATATAACATTTAATAAATAAAGACAAAAAGACAATTGACAAAAACCTGATTTAGTTAGTTTACAGACAAAGATATTAAGTTTTTGAACTCTTGTTTATTGTTATTATTTGAATCGAGATGTAACACTTGCTTTTTTATTGCATATTTTTGGTTTTTTCTCACATTTTTATATAAAATTTCTATTAAGAATTCTTTTTATTCACCTAGAAAATAGTTAGATTTTTTTTCATGTATTTAAACTACATCATAGATAGAATTAGATTAGGAATAATAAGATGGGACACTTGTTGAGAGGAGATTAGTAAATAGCTTTCAAAATATACAAAGAGATTATATATTGTGAATCATTGGTTTTTAGTTATTCTATATCAGCAAACATTTTCTGAATAAAATTGATTTGGCATTATCAAAAATGAATTAATATCTTTTTCTAGTGCCTACCCAAATACTGTAATAGGATATTGATTTTATTCCAAATAATCATAGTTAGCAAGTAGCCATATCAGAGAAATTTAAACAAAGAAAATATTGAATTTTTGCTATTGAAAATATTACAGTAGTGAAAAACCTACCTATAGTGTGCACTTAGAAATATCAGCATAATAATATTTAGACTTTAGATATTATAGAACTTTAGAAAGCCTCATATTTTGTAGCAATTATAATGGTGGAAGTTTAGAAAGACATTTATTTAGTTAAAATTAGAGCCTAGAACTTTAAAAAGGCTTTTATTTCATAGGAAACATATTCTTTGACCAAAATAGATGTTGCATTATGGAATTAAAAATGGCACAAACAATATTGAAAAAATGCATGTTAAACTAACCTAACCTTAGTTTAGAGACGATGATATTAAGTTTTAGAACTCTTCTTTATTGTCATTATTTGAATCGAGGTGTAACACTTGCTTTTTTATTGTATATTTTTGGTTTTTTCTCACATTTTTATATAAAATTTCTATTAAGAATTCTTTTTATTCACCTAGAAAATAGTTAGATTTATTTTCATGTATTTAAACTACACTGTAGATAGAATTAGATTAAGAATAATAAGATGGGACACATGCTGAGAGGAGATTAGTAAATAGCTTTCAAAATATACAAAGAGATTATATATTGTGAATCATTAGTTTTTAGTTATTCTAAATCAGCAAATATTTTTTGAAAAAAATTGATTTGGCATTATCAAAAATGAATTAATATCTTTTTCTAGTGCCTACCCAAATACTGTAATAGGATATTGATTTTATTCCGAATAATCATAGTTAGTGAGTAGCCATATGAGAGAAATTTAAACAAAGAAAATATTGAATTTTTGCTATTAAAAATATTACAGTAGTGAAAAACCTACTATAGTGTGCACTTAGAAATATCAGCATAATAATATTTAGACCTTAGATATTATGGAACTTTAGAAAGCCTCATATTTTATAGCAATTATAATGGTGGAAGTTTAGAAAGACATTTATTTAGTAAAAATTAGAGCCTAGAACTTTAAAAAGGCTTTTATTTCATAGGAAACATATTCTTTGACCCAAATAGATGTTGCATTATGGAATTAACAATGGCACAAACAATATTGAAAAAATGCATGTTAAACTAACCTAACCTTAGTTTACAGATGATGATATTAAGTTTTTGAACTCTTAACTTTAGAAAGCCTCATATTTTGTAGCAATTATAATGGTGGAAGTTTAGAAAGACATTTATTTAGTACAATTAGAGTCTAGAACTTTAAAAAAGCTTTTATTTCGTAATATTGTGAATATTAGTATATGTACAAAATTGCAGAAAATTGCACTTTGGAATTATAATATAAAGAATTATAATATAAAGATTTTAGATAGATCTTTGCATGAAATACTGGCAGTTCATTTTTGCCGGAATTGCATTCATTGAGACTACCTGTGGGACGAACTTGAAAGGTTCTATCTGGACCAGTACTTTGGTTTATTGATAAATGATTGGTGAGGATGAATTCAATTGTAATGAACTCGAGATTCCTACAATTACCATAGAATGCAGTACAAATATGGCACAGTTGGCAGTTCACAACTCTTCTTCAATGAATGATATTTTGGTTTTTGAAAATGACCAAACCAGAAGCAAAGAAATAGATGAGAATCTTACTAAAATAAATGAATTAATGTTGAGAATTAAAAATAGTGGAGCAAAAGTTGATGGTAACAGTTTCTTGAAGTACCATTTGATGACTGGGGCAGCTACAATTCCTGAAGGTATGGCAAACCCTGATTTCACTCAACCAAAATTCATGAATGATAGCATTCAACAAAATGCTTTGGAAAAGACAATTGGAAGAAGAAACCAAAAATATGCAATAAAAAAGCAAGTGTTACATCTCGATTCAAATAATAACAATAAACAAGAGTTCAAAAACTTAATATCTTTGTCTGTAAACTAACTAAATCAGGTTTTTGTCAATTGTCTTTTTGTCTTTATTTATTAAATGTTATATAGATTAATAACAGGAAGATTTAACAAAAGAAAAATCATGTTGTTTTCTTAGGGCAAAAAAGCTTTCAGCTCTCTCCGAATTGCCAATAATCCAATTATTATTAATTAATATCATTTCTAATGCAGCATTAAAATCATCAATAAGGAACTTGATCAAAATTGGCCAAATTATTTCAATAATTCGACAAAACATTTTTCTTAGATGTTAAGTCTTTTTTCTTTTTATTGTCTTGATAGGATTTCTAAAACTGATTAATTTTTTTGTACAGTTTTTCTTCTACAATTTTTTTCTTTATCTTCTTTGAAATGCTTAGTTGATGACAAATTAAAATCAATTGATGGAGCTTATAGAGATTCTCAATTCTGTAACATTTACTATCAATGTGTGAATGGCACTGTTTATTCTCACAAATGTCCACTTGGCCACTTCTTTGATCCAGTAATCAACGCAATAGAAGGCACTGTAAAATTTTGCATTCCCTCCGAAAATTTGAAATGCACACAGAATCGAGTTTGGTCTCAATGGTCAGCTTGGAGTGATTGCGACCAAAAGTGCAGAGGCAAAGAAATTCATACGAGAAGGAGAGAATGGAGCAATCCTTCACCTTCCATTGGTGGAAATTAAAGTACCAGTTTACCAATTGAAACTGAAGATTGCAAAACTCCTGATTGTGCATTGGGTAAAAGTCCAGCATTCGCAGTACCTTTAAAATCGAGTGTTACACTTCATCAAGAAAGAGTAAGGTGGAGTTCTATTGATGTAAACCAAGAAAATCTGTTCAATCCTATAACCAATGAATTAAGTATTAAACAATCAGGATTATTTTTCTTTACAATGACTGGATGTATGGATAAAGATACTGGAACATTGCTTAGATTTGAAAATGTTTGTAGACAAACAGATTTAAAGAGGGATGAAAACAAATCAGCCTGGGATCAAATAACCAGAAGTGCTTTATTTATTCTAAATCCTTTGTTCAAACCATTTGTTGAACAAAACTTTCATAGTTCCAAATTACTTTTAGGACTTTGGTACCATATATCAAGTTCTGATAGAGAGTGTACTTTGTTGTATTGTAATTTTCAATTCTTTAACTGTTAGCTGGCTGTTTAAACTTACTTGTTTAGAACTAGAAACTCATTTACTCAATACATAACCTTTGAATGAAATACTGGTGTTTTGTTGTTTAATTTCTACCAAAATTACATTTGTTAATACTGATTGTGGACAGACTTAAAAGGTTCTATTTGTTTGAGTACTTTGGAGAATTGATAAATGATTGAAGAGGACAAATACTGTTCTGAACAAGCAGAAATTCCAAAAATTACAATAACAGTTAAAGAATTGAAAATTACAATACAACAAAGTACACTCTCTATCAGAACTTGATATATGGTACCAAAGTCCTAAAAGTACTCAATTCCTACAATTAAAATACAACAAAGTATAGTTATCAAAATTTTGAGTTTGCCACAATTAAAATTGATAAACCCTTATGAGAAATCCTATTGCTTAAATTAACTATGATATATTTTTTGAACACAATTTGATTTTTAATATGCTTGGAGTATTTATTTGAATCTTAATTTCATTGACATATATAATCTTTCAAACTTTTTTGGGAAGAATGAAAATTTTATGTTTCATCATGCATAATTTCTTGACTCTCTGGCATCTTTTAGTTGCTGGGGCAACAGCACAAAGTGCACATTGAGCTTTGCTTATACCTTTCTTGTTGCTGAAGAGCTTACTAAGGAATCTCTGTATTGAAACAATCAAGTAAATAATAGTGAACAATTGTGTTTGTATATGTCTTACCTTTGCTACTTCTTCTTCAGTTTCTTCATCAATTTCACGTTCATTTAAATCAACCAAATCATTTCCATCATCAGAGATTTGATTTTCTGCCAAATCACTGACTAACTCACTTGCGTGAGCTTGGTAAATTGCAAATACTACAAATAAGGATACAACGAAAATTTTCATTTTGAAGAGTTGGTTGGCAAACTGGATGATAGCATGGGTATTTATAGAAAAACAGTGTAATTTATGGGAATAGATTGTAAAGATTGTTACAGTAATTAACATTGTTAGTATATATCATCACTTAAAATATGTTGAGATAGGGGCAAATAAAGTGATATAGGGGAATCATTATTTATTATCAATAATTCAAAATAACCATAAATATGTTTAATTTTTTTTATTCTTTTGAGTAGAAATAAAAAAATAAAGCATGTAATTTGCAATGCAATTTGCTTTTTAGAAAAAAAATTAATGTAAGTTAAAAAACTTTTTGTTTTCATTTGCATAACTTTTGAGCACAGGTGTACAATTGTTGGTTACTATTGTAGTTTGTTGTATTGTAGCTCATGAGAATCAAATTTTTCCTCTCCAATCATTCACCAATTTGCCAAAGTACTGTTCAGCATAGAACCTTTTAAGTTCATCTACAATTAGTCTCAATAATGAAATTCCATGAGAAATTTACCAACAAAACAGCAGTATTTCTTTCAAAGAATGCTTATTCAGAAACTGACTTTCTAGTTCCAAAGAAGCAGGTTTTAACAACAAACTGGCTCACTTGATCATCTAAAATAGTATTGTGAAAATAATTTAAAGATATCATAGATTTTTGTGTTTTTATTTTTTTAAATATTTTTTAATATAAACTTTGAGCACATGTGTACATTTGTTACTAATTAATGTACTTTGTTGTACAGTAATTTGTACACATACAGTGGTGAAAGAAATTTTTCATTCGAAGGAATATTTTTTTGTAAAGGCTATTTTGAAGGGTAATCAATAGCCTTGTTTTAAAAAAATATTGACTGAAATGTAGGACATTTTGTCTAGTTTTATGAATATTTTTCAGATACTCTCTACCTCTCCTAGTTTACAAAATTATTTTTATATTTTTGTGAGTATTTATAATTCTGTACAGAAATTTTTTGGAAAAGGCAAGCAAATTTTTTGTACACCCCCTATATCTTATTTATTTATTAATTTTTTAATTAAATGTACATTTATAAATGTTAGTGCTTTAGCTTTGAACCATTTTGTTGAATACAAGTTAATCCTGAATCTAACAGGGACTTATGAAGGGTGATTAAATCCTTCTTTTGTCTTTTATTCAAAATTTCCAACTTTTGTTGAATACAGTGCCACAAATTATCCTTTTAGTAAATTGGGGGCTCTCATATACAAGATTCTTCAACATGTGCCATGCATTCTCTATGGGGGAAAGATCTGGGGAGTAAGCTGGCCAAGGTAATACTTTCAGTCTTAAAATATTTTTGGATAATTTTGGCTTTGTGGCAAGGAACATTATCCTGTTGGAAGATGAAACTCTTCCCATATCTTTTTTTCAGGAATGGCATGACCGCTTTTTTCGTTGGCCTATAACAGTTTGAAGCTATTAATTAGCTATTTCCAAGTGCAAAATACTTGACATTTGACCAATAGGAGACAAGGTGGAAATGTTAAAATTGAGTATGGATCAACTAAAATATAATCCTGTATATATCAAAGTATTTTCCTAATGGGGTAAATCCCATTCTCTCTCTCTCTCGTAATTAGAAAATACAGGATGAGGGAGTATGGTTTTTGGTGCAAGTTGTAATTGGGACGTTTTCCACCAACCGCAAAACATATCTTTTCCTAACAATAGACAATGGAAAAGGTCATACAGCAAACAAGTAATCACTGTTGAAATGTTTTCAATGATTTTTCATCATCATTTAATTTGTTGGCAAACTTATTTCCTTAATTTCAGATTAATGCATTAACAATGAAATGAATGACGGCAAAGGATTTAATCTTGATATGAATTGCCATCATCAATATGAGTATTCTCTCATGTAAATGCCTTTTCAATTTTTGGTGACGTGTGACGTATGAAGACAAGTAGTCTTTATTGTTTATGTCTCCTTTCCAGAACAAAATCCAAGTTTTACTTGGAAACGTTCTTGAATCATAATCCACCAATGGTTGCAAACAAAGAGCAATCTCTGTAGGTAATAATGTCAAGTGTCTCGAGTTGGTTAATGGCAAAGTATTGAGGCAAAATTGAAAGAGTTATTAGTTAATGCAATATATTGAATATGATAATTAGAATTATCATATTGTAGAGTTCAAATCCACTTGTTCTGAGCGTCTTTTCTTTCTCACACTCTAACGCTTACAAGACCAAATACAATGATATTCCTATGCGTGTTTACCGCTTTTCTAATTGGATGCAATGGCTATTTCGAACGATAGGTTAACGCGTTTGAAGAACAGAATAAAAATGGCTATAGTGTTCCCAGCCATCACCAACAGTTTAACCAAGAACGTCAAGATCATATTAAACTTTTTTGAGTATTGCTAACATTGCAGATATTGAATTAGTGTTTGATACAAATATTTTTCGAACAATACATTTTGAAAAAGTTCGAATTTTGAAATTAAGAAATGAAAATAAAACTTTAAAATTAGTAGTTCAAAACAATGACACTACTCTCGACGAATACAACCACGAATATATTAAAGGATGGAACGAAGTTCACTTTACAAATCCTTCACCTTCGGTCAAGATGTTTCTCTATTTGACTGGATCGCCTTATAATAATCTGGAAATTGGAGAGATACAAATACTGGCTACAATAAAAGCTTATTCGTCGTGCGTCGAATGGTATAAAGACGCAAAACCAACTTTTCCAGAATTTATATATGCTGAAGATATGTTTAGGTTTTTGTACGAAGATGTTGCAGAATTGGAATCTGGATCTGTCTGTACAGCGTCTATATCACATATACACCAGCAACTACGAATATAATAGAGAATCAACTGGTTTCTCTTTTCTTTCTAGCCAGAGATTCGTATGTGTTGGGAGAGAGATTAATCAAATACAATGTCTATCTTCGCTATCAGAAGATCTTTATAAAATGTACAATGGGCAAAAGTGATAACGTCTTAGCAACTTTATATCATTAAAATAACATGAACTATACATTCTTGAACGATAATTCTCAATGCTTTCAAAGCTTATTTTATACATCTAACTTTCCACCAAATTCCAGCTTTAAAATTATGTTTATTTGCTAGTCTGAGTCTGCTAGCATGATAAAATTTTCTTTTGTCTGCCAGTATTTCCAATTCATACTGTACTGCTCTTGCTGGCAAAATCTATGCGTTTGCAAGTTATAACAATACTGGTTCTACTCGAACCTTTAAACAAATGTTTAAATTAAAATGGTTTATTCGCAATAATAATACTTAAGCAAGTAACAATATGAGAGTTCGATAGCAGAGTAGATAGTTTGTAAAAGCAGGTTGCCAAATTACCAAACTGTCTTCTAATGTTGAGGAGTAGATGGATGGTTCCAGTGGAGGTTGTTTCCAGATGATTTTCCCAGGTCCTTGGGTCCAGATGGAAGCTGCATGCCAAATGAGAATAATGAGAATTTATATACTTTGAGGTTTGTCTCTGACATCCAATCATCACTTTACAGTTGCCGAAATGTGTAGTTCATATTTATCTTTAGTAACAGGATGTTACAAGGTTCAACATTTAGGAAGGTTAATTGAATTATAACTTGGCCACACCCTAGGCAAGTTAATTAAATTATAACCTGGCCAAACCTTTATTGGTAATTAAAGATGAGCCTTCAAGCTGACTAATCAGACTTATGTTTGGCCAATGTTATAGCATTTTCTTGCGTAGGTTTTAAGATGTACATGTATATGTTGCATAAAATAATAGAGTTCAAGCATGTAAAATATAACCAAAGTTGTACA